ACAAAAAAAAAAAAGCTGTTTAACTGTTTCGGTTTATTTATAGAAATAAATTGCAAAGGACTCTGGACCTTTCAGTATCTTTTACTGTATAGTTGGCTAAGTGCCAATTTTTAAAGAATTTATTTATTTTTGCTTTATTGCTGTTGTTTTTTTCTTCTTTTTTGTTTTTTGTTTTGACTGTAATATAACTACTGTTCAACTGTTACATAATTCAGAAATGGCTAAAAAAAAAGCGATTTGCAATTGAGCAAAAAAAAAAATTTTCTGGAGAAGAAGACGTAGGGAAAAAAGCGGAGATAAAACTTGAAATTGATAGTGATCATCAAACAGTTTATTCCATTTTAATAATTTGTTTTGCTCTATTTACTAGTAGTTTCTAGCGCTTGAAACATATTGGCAACATATCTCCCATTACGATCATAGTTGAAAAATGGAATACTTAGCTTGATCATATTTTTACAGACACAGTGGACAACAGCGTGACACTGTTTTGAACAAGAAAAAGAACTTTAATCGTTCAAATGAAGTTTAGGCGGCCATTTGAGGAGGACTGGCAGGACTGTCGTTTGTTGCATTGACAGTTGCACTCTTTTGAAGACCGTTTGTTTCTGTCTTTGTGTCTTATCAATTTCGGTCAACTTCTTCAATCACTAACAAACAGAGCAGTAGTGGTTAATAAAACTTGAAGGCATAATTACTAGTAACACTAAGAAGTAGTCAATTTTTAAATGTACTTTTGTTAGTTTTTCGGGCTTTTGATGAAGTTTTTAAAACTGAAAAGAAAACAATGGGAAACGAAGAAATAAGCTGTACTTTTGTTTTCTTTTTTTTTTTATTTTTGTTTTTTTCGTTTTTCTTTTTTGCTTTTTTTTTTTTTACAGAAATGTTTTTTTTTTCTGAAAATACTTTTGAAGCTGCAAAAATCTTTGTAATAGTATTATTGTGGTTTTTTTAGCATTTAATATTAATGAAATGTTGGATTACCGTAGTGGCAGTAATCCATTAAATGAAGTGTTATCAATATTCTTCTCCGAAAGTTGATCCTTCAACTATCTTTTTTTCTTTTTTGTTTTTTTGTTCTGTTTTTTTTTTCGTTTTTTTTTTTTTTTTTTTTTTTTTTTT